CATATATTTTTTTCTGTTCTGTTTGTTGCCCTTTCACTCTTTCGACTTTCTTCTGCTATACCGAAGTTTGCTAGTTTGATGTAGTTACACTTGACTTTTTTTTTTTTTTGTGGTACTGGGGTTTGAACTTGGAGTCTACACCTTGGGCCATACCACCACCCCTTTTTTGTGATGTTTTTTTCGAGATAGGGTCTCACGAACTGTTTGCCCAGGCTGGCTTCGAACTGATCTCCGCCTCCTGAGCATGAGCCACTGGCATCTGGCCTGTTTCTGCTTTTGTCGCCTGCCCTTTTGGTGTCATATCTAAAAAATCATATTGTCCAGACCATTATCGTGAAGCTTTCCCTTCTGTTTTCTCTTTCTCCTTTCTTCCTTTTTTCTTTCCTTCTCTCTCTTCCTCCCTACCTCCCTCCCTTTTCATGTCTTATTTATTTATTTTGGTGGTACTAGAGTTTGAACTCAGGCCTTCACTCTTGCTAGGCAAGTGCTTTAAGAGATGCCCTCAGACTAGTTTGGGCTACATAACAAGATCTCATCTTGTTATTTTTCAGGTAGGGTATTGCATTTTTTGCCTGGGGCTGGCCTCATATCATGATCCTCCTACCTATACCTCCCAAGTAGCTGGTATTACAGGTGTGCATGTCACCCCCAGCTTGTTTGTTGACATGGACCTAAATTCTTCCAATATCTGCCTCCTGAGGCAATTGGGACTACATGCATGAGCTACTATGTCCAGCCCCATGTTCCTATGTTTGTCTTTGTTTTCTTTTTGGAAATGAGGTCTTGTTATGTAGCCCAGACTAGTCTCAGACTTGATCCTCCTGCTTTAACTATCCAAGTGCTGAGATTACAGTTGTGCCCAACCACTCCTGACTGTGCTTTTGTCTTTAATTCATTTCGAGTTGACTTTTGTGTATAGTTGTCCAAAGAATATGGTAAATTTGAAAGAACCTTTTGTGTAAATCTACTTTAATTTTGATATATTTCAATATTATTTTTCTATTATACTATTTATATGTTTAAACTGTTTATATGTTTAAATGCCACATGATTGTTACTAATACTGATTTAACATTCATTTAGGATTGTTCATCCTGTTTTTCATTTTTTTTTTTTTTGCAGTACTGGGTTTTGAACTCAGGGCCTACACCTTGAGCCACTCCACCAGCCCTTTTTTTGTGATGGGTTTTTTTTGAGATAGGGTCTCGCAAACTATTTTCCCGGGCTGGCTTCGAACGACAGTCTTCCTGATCTCTGCCTCCTGAGTAGCTCTTCGTCATTTTCTTGCTGCAACTCTTAAGGTTCTAACTGGAATCGTTTTCCTTCCTAAAGAATGCTCTTAGAACTGGGAGTGTTAGTTTAATACATGAGGCCCTTTTAATGATAAAAGGCCCTTTAATATTTCTGTTAATGAATACTAATTTTTAAAATAGTTCAAAATTATTCAAGTAAGGATCTGCACGGTTGTAATTGAGAAGTTTCTTGAGTCTCTCTTAATCAGAGAATCCCCCACTATCATTTATTTTTCTTTGCAATTTATTTGTTGAAGGGAGGTGGTTATTGTCTAGTACAATTTTCCATAGTCAGAATTTTGGTGATTGTATCCCAATAATATCACTTAGTATGTTTCTCTGTCTTTATTATTTACTGTAAATTGATAGTTGGATCTAGAAAATTTGATCAGATTTTGGTTCATGACTTTTGGGTTTCTTTTAAGATAACTTTGTAGGTGGGTGGTATGTTCTTTTACTAAATACATTTTTTATTTTTAACTTGACACAATAATTGAATATATTCATGCAGTAGAGTGTGACATTTTGATACATACATAAAATGTGTAGTGATCTGATCAGGGTAGTTGTCATATCTTATCCATAACCTCAAATATTTATCATTTCTTTGTGTCGGTAACACCCAACATCCTCTCTACTAGCTATTTTGAAATGCACAATTAATTGTTGTCCACCATGGTTATCCTACAGTACTATAGGACATTAGAAGTTATGCTTCCCATGCAATGCACCCCTGTACCTCTTAGTCATCCTCACTCCAACACCCTCCCACATACTCTTCCCAGGCTCTGGTAACCATTATTTTATTCTAATTCTATGAGATCAGGTGTTTAGCTTTTCCATGCAAGTAAGAAGATGGGGTATGATTCTTTCTGGGCTTGACTAATCTCACAAATGCCACACAGTGTCCTCCAGTTCCATCCATGTTGTTGTCAATGACAGAATCTCATTTTTTATGGCTGAATAATATTCCACTGGGTATATACGTCTTGTTTCCTTTTTCAGTTTGTTTTTACGGTGCTGGGGATCAAACCCATTGTCTCTGGGTAAGTTTTTTTTTTAACCCTGAGTTAAGCCTCCAGTCTCTCCTGCATTTTCTTTATCTATTCCTCCATTGATGTTCACATAGGTTGATTTTTATCTTGCGTTTTGTGAGTAGTGCTGCAATGAAGATGAGAAAGTGCAGTGTCTCTTTGACATACTGATTTGAGAAAGTGCAGTGTCTCTTTGACATACTGATTTTAGTTCTGTAGTGTAGTCGTTCCTTAAGATCAGGAGCCACATAATATTGGTAGTCTGTTTTTTATGATGTGAGCAGCTGACAGATGGCTAGATTCTTTATTAGGGATCTTAAAATGGTGATGTTTTAATTCTGTCATTCCCTCTTTTTGTTATCATATATTAATTGAACAAAATAATGGGATTCATTATATTTTCATACACGTATACAATGTACTTTGATCACACACTCCTATCATCCTCCAGTGTACTCCTCCTCTCTTGCTTGTTTCCCCTCTCCCAAATAGTTCTCTACTTTCACATCTTTTTAAAAGTGTAGATTCTGCATTTATCATTCCCTTTTTTATTGGCTAAAATATTTCAAAAACAGGTATTTCTTATTTACTATTGAGCTAGCCAGTTGCATAGTTTGGAAGAGTAAATGCTTGATTTAGAAAAATTACTTGGTAATTTTTAGAATAGTGAATTGATTTTAGCATCCTCCATTTCTGACCAGCTAGGGTTTTGGAGTTTGTTGTCATTGTGAACTATTGTACTTAAATGTATCTGGTACATTTCCATGTATATTTTTAACACACATAACTTGCTCTATTAGATCATCTATTTTTAGGATTGGAAATTGATACAGTTTTTCTGTTTTATTTTAGCTTGCATTTATGTCGGATTCTCAGTGAAAATAAAAGCCATGACAGTTCGACTTACAGAGGTATGTTTTTTTTTTTGTTTGTTTTGTTTTTTTTTGGTGGTTTTGGGGTTTGAACTCAGGGCTTTGTAGTTGCTAGGCAGGCACTCTACCACTTGAGCTGTGCCTCCAACCCCAGAGATACGATTTTAAAAGTATCATACTTAGCATTTTTAATTGATTAGAATTAATAATTTTCCATTTTTTTGCATGAAAACCAAAGGTTCACATTATAGAAAGCATTTATATGAATACAATCAAGATTAAAGTTAGAGTAAGATTATACGTCTTGTATACTGATGTTATTTGACCTGCATTATAGTCAAATGCTATTGCCTGACTTATTTATTTATGTATGTATGTATGTATGTATGTATGTTGCCTGACTTTTAAAATTGGGAGTTTGCACATTTAGTTAAATTTCAGCAGTTAGCTGTACCAGTTCTAAATGTGAGATAAAACTAGCGTGGAAAGGAAAACAATTTGATCTTGTTTCCATCAGAAAATTTCCACAAACTGAGTTCAGTGTTTTTACTAAAGCTGGTTATGTTCATGTGGTATTTAGGGATCTTGTTAAAGGCAGTTGTCATGGAAAACATTAAAAGCAAAGGAGTTATTTACTGCATGTCACGGATAGGATTTATTAAGTAAAATGTTATATAATGAAATGTAAATTTTAGTTTACATTTAGTCACGGCAAAGGAGGGGCAAAATAAAGCAATTGTATCTGTTCAGTTTGAAGTATTTTCATATGTATCTTTCGTTGAGGGTATTAGGATTTGAACTCAGGTCTTTGTGTTTGTGAGGCAGGTGCTCTATCACTTGAGCCACACTTCCAGCCCTTTTTGTTCTGGATATTTTAGGGTCTCACTTTTTGCCCAGGCTGGCCTGGACTATGATCCTCCTATTTTAAGCTTCCTGCTGTCACTGGGATGGCAGGCATGCAGCACCATGACCAACTTTTTTCCGTTGAGATGGGATCTTCCAGACTTTTTTGCCCAGGCTGGCTTGGAATCAAGATTCTCCTGATTTTCAGCCTCCCAAAGTGGCTAGGATTACAGGCTTGGGCCACCTGTGCTCAGCTGAAAAACATTTTTATAATTAATATTTTGGATTAACCTAAGAATCAATTTGGGAAATTTGTTATAGTTATTTCAGTTATGCTTTTTTGATAGCAGATAAGAACAGAATGTTTTTCTATAGAAAAGGTTACTTTTGGTTTATAAGACATTAAGTAAAACTTAAGAGGACATTTGGATGTTTGAGTGGCAAGTATCTTTTTTTTAAAACCAATGAAGGTCCATTTTGGTTTTCTCTTTTTTGAGCAATTTCTTTTAAGACTTAACATCTCTAATATGCTACCCCACAAATTATTAGCTTGTTTATTCTGCTTGTAACATTATAAAATTGGGCTGGGGAGGTTGCTCAGTGGTAGAGCACTTGTGTAGCAACCATGAGGCCCTGGATTCAATCCCTAGCACTTCGAACAAAAAAAAAAACTTGTACAATCGCTCATAATCACTTTTAAGATTTAAATAATGTGTTCTTATTTGTGTAAGTCAGTCAACTGCCAGAAATGTAAGAAAATACAAAAATATTCCTTCATAAAAACACTTGGAAGCTGATGTGGTAGTACATGCCTGTAATCCTAGCATTGGGAAGGTAGAAGCAAGAGGATTGAGTATTTGAGGCCAGCCTGAACTACATAATGAGACCTTTTCTCAAAAAAACAAAAACTACCCAGATACTTAATTATTTTTTCCCCATGCTTCAAATCAGTTTCAAACTTCTCAGTTAATTTTGATCTTGTTTGAGGGTTTTCCAAGTGGCTCAACAGGTACAGCTCATACCTAGCATGCATGAAGCCTCGAGTTCAAACTCCAGTGCCACCAAAAAAAAAAAAAAAAAAAAAAAAGAGAGATCTTGTTTGAAACCTTAGTTCAAGGTGTAAGAGACCTCTAAAAGAAACCTATAAATTTCTTATAACACAATGATACTGCTCTTTCACTTAAATGGGACTCTCTGGATCTTTACTAAGTATTGGATTATTGTTAATTTATATTTATTTTTTTTGTCAGTACTGGGGTTTGAACTTAGGGCTTCATGCTTGCTAGGCAGGCACTCTACCACTTGAGCCACTCTACCAGCAGGATTATTGTTAATTTGAATGGTTGTTTTGGTTTACATATGAAACCCAAAATAGTTGTGAGTGTGGCCTCATTGGCTGAATTGCCATTATTCTCTTCTTGATTGCTTCTTGAACACATACACACCCTTTGCTTGATGTCCGCCAGTAGGGCTTTGGTCTGAGCACTCAGTTTGGTAGTTGATGCAGGAAGCTGACTGGATGCTATTTCTTCAGAATCAACTTTGTTCTGTTGTTAGGGGATTTACTGGGTAGTGTTCTCTCTCACCTTTTACTTTCTGCCCTTCCTTGGAATTAATTTCATCTCAAGTAGGCAATTTCCCTTGCCTACAATATTTGTTACTTTTATAAGTTGTCCTTGCCCCCACCAATGAAACAACATTGTGACAATAACTGATAAACATGAGTAGTACTAGTGATATCAGACATTCTATGAATTGGTATGTTCATTATTCAAACCCCACAAAGTACTTTTAGAAATCTCTGAAAGTCCCTTCTTTCTTGCTCATAGTCTTAAAGCACCACTTAATGTTTCTATGGATAAAATACAATGGGAGTTATAAACCACTTTGTGTTTTTTTTTTTTTTTTTGGTGGTACTAGAGTTTGAACTCAGGGCCTCACATGTGGTAGGCAGGTGCTCTATCACTTGAGCCACTCTAACAGCCCACAAATCTCTCTTAAATAGTCATTTAGAAAACTTGTGAACTGGGGTGCTTTTTTGCTACTTTGTGGATTACAGTGTATTTTTATATTACATTAGTGTCAGCAAAATGACTCAGGCCACTTGTTCTCTATTTTAATCTTCTGTGATTAAGATTAGAATTCCCTGAACTCCAGTGAGTATGTGCTAGAGGAATACTCTTATGGGAACTTTTATGATAACCGACTATTTTGTCCTTTTAAGTGATGGTGTTAAAAATATTAGTTGTCTGGATAATTTTAAATAATTAGTATTGCCTATTTTAAGGCATTTTGTTAATGGAAATGGAAAGCATAAAATTGATTTACTATTCCTGTCACAATAAATAGACATTTCCCTTTGTTTTTATATAGTTTATATATAAGCATGCTGAAGGCATAGTTGTGAAAAGGGCAGAGTGTGTGTGTGTTTGTGTATAAAGAATTGGAATAATCAGATTATATTACAAAATGATTTAATGAAAAATTTATTTTATTGCAAAATAGTATTTTCATTGGTGAAGGGGATTGACACACATTTTGATTTCTATTATGTTTCTGTTTTGTGACTAGTAGTCATACCAGAGGAGAAGATTTTTAAACATTTCTTTTTTTTTCCTCTAGGAAGTGGTGATTGAACCCAGAGCCTCCAGCATGCCAGGCAGATGCTCTACCACTTGAGCTATACCCCCAGTGCTAAATACTTCATTTTTTACCTGCCATTTTGTCTTGAAAAATTTTTGGTTTCCCTACAAAGGGAATTATAGACTTTATGTTAGTGATTTTAGAGTTGCTTGTTTTCCTTTTTTATTGGTACTGGTGTTTGAACTCAGCCATGTGCTTGTAGGTAGATGCTGTACCACTTCAACCATATCCCCATCACTTTTTTGCTTTAGTTATTTTTTGGGGAGGGCCTCACTTTTTGTCTTGTTTTGTGATCCTCCTACCTGTGCCTCCCACATTGCTTGGGTCACCGGCATGAAACACAATTCATGGCTTGTTGGGTTGGGATTGGAGTCACAATAACTTTTTTGCCCAGGTTGGCCTCAAACTGCTATTCTCTCAATCTCCACCTCCTGTGTAGCTGGGATTATAAGGCATCGTTTTTCCTAGTTTTAATGGTTGGAAGGGATAAAGTTCTTAGTGTATGGAACTAAAGAAAAAGATATCCAAAAGAAGGTGTTCACTCAACCCCTAATTCCGCACTCCAAAAACAAGATTTTTTTTTTTCAAGAAATGAGGGTATGACAATAATGAATGGGGGTTTGGGCTGGCAGAGAGGCTCAAGTGGTAGAGTGCCTGCTAGCAAGCATGAGCCCTGAGTTCAAACCCCAGTACTACCAAAAAAAAAAAAAAAGAATTTGTATGAATGGGGCTACTTGTGGTTGACAGTTCTCATAGTATATGACTACATGAGTATGTTTTTCATTTGAATTTTGAAAGAAATTGAAGACAAAAAGATTCAGATATGGGGTGAGGTTTCTCTGGTAGTAGAGTATGGATAAAACTCAGTATTATGTTTATTTCTTGTCACTATAGCTCTGAGATTCAAATGAGTATAATCTGAATATATATAGAAAAAAATCTATGAAGTTGGTGAGGCGAATGGTTAGTTTATATCCACTTGTTGGAATTCTATGTGGTCATTGAAAATAATTATGGAGACTTTAGTAGCATGATAAAATGTTTTTTAAAGTGTTGTGGGATGGATGTGGTGGTACACACCTGTAATCTCATCTACCTGGGAAGCTGAGGCAGGAGGATTTCAAGTTAGAAGCCAGCCTTGGCAACTTAGTAGACCCTGTCTGCAAATGGAAAGGCTTCTCAGTGGTAGAGACCTTTCCTAACTTGTAGGAGGCCCTGGGTTGAATACCCAGTACCAAAAAAAAAATTGCTATGGAGAAATCAAAATACTAAAGGTTGTACACAATGAATGTGAATATGTGAAATCTGTAGACAAAAAGAATAGATGGTAATGCTCAACTACTAGTTACATTATAGTTGAACAGGAATGGTTAACTTTTCCCTAAATTATTAATGTTGTGATTTTACAAAAATAAAATGGTTAATTGCTAGAGAAAGCATTAGAAGTATATATATTCATTATTGGTGTTTATAATAATTCTGAGAAGTAGGAAATAAATAGATTTTTGCCCAAGAGTCTGCCTTTCTTGTTCAAAAGACTGTGTCCTTATACTGTGTATTTTATGTTCAACAGATTTTCAGCAAGCTCTGTATGAATTGTCATATCATGTCATTAAAGGAAATTTAAAGCATGAACAGGCATCTACTGTTCTTACTGATATTAGTGTAAGTATATATATATATATTTAAAACAATTTTTGCATATCTTTTAGTTTTTGATACAAAAACCCTTAAAACTTAAATTTCGTTTTATTCAAAATTACAGTAGTAGAAATTTTGAGGTAATATTGGTAAGCCATGTTTTGCTACACAGGAATAGTTATTTTAATCTTTCTGTTTGGTTGTGAATAAAGTAGAAATGATTAGGTAAGCTGGGGAGAGCAAGAAATTGCACTGTAATGAAGCTATTCTTATTTTAAAATGCTGCTTTTAAAAAATGAGTTGGCTAAAATATTTTTCTGGCAATAGAGCATAATGAGTCATTTTTACTTAATTATGTCTAAAATTGAGGATTTTAAATCGAGGACTAAATTATTTTAAATTGTGATCATGTAGCTTAACATTCCTTTGTTTCCAATTTTTATCTGCTTGCTCTTTGTTTTAGAAAATATTAACTAGATTTTTTTTAAACCTGTAAGCAGCTAATTCTGCCTCATTTTTTTTAATTGAAGAATTTGAGTTAGATTCAGACCAGATACTTTTCATTGTGGTTTGGTATTTGAATTGGAAGATGAGCTGTCAATATTGTAAGGGTGTTTATTGTAAACCAGAAGTTAAGCATGAGGTTTTATAAGAAATAATGCTGTTTTGATATTATTCAGCTGGATTTTAGACTTGTGTAAAGTTATTTGTTCAGTTCAGAACAGTTTTATATTAAGTATTATTTTGGTTGGATGGAGCTTCTTGGTCTCAATATGAATTTCTCTTGTGTTTCTGTAAGTTTCTGTAGAATTTTTTGGGGGGGGATAGTTGCCTTTGCATGATTTTTATACTTTCCTAGGATAGTCTTAAGGAAATTCTAAGTTTGGCTGTTGTTGACTCCCCCCCCCCAGTACATTTGAGCAGTAGGGGTTTAATATGAGTTTCTTTTTTATCCCTAAGCTGTCTCTAGTTGATAAAAGCAGTATTAGTTCATGGTGAAGTGGTCTGTTTCTTAAACAAGTAATATTTCATGTTTGAAAACTCTTGCATTGCTCTATTTCTAGTCTTCAAGTAAGTAGCCTGAGTACTTGCATTTTAAGTAGATACAGGTGGAGTTCATAGTCCTTGAGAAACTTGAGATTAAAATCTGATTGATTACTAAGGTGATTTCATTCTGTAAATTGGACATCTGTTTAAGTTGTAGTTTGTTTTTGGATCTGACAATCATTTTTCCCTTTACTGAAAATAAATAGTCCAAATGAACTTTGTTTGTGTGCTTAGTTCTTAGCTTCTTTCTTTTGATCACATAGTGATTGATATCTTTATATTTCTGCAGCAGATTGTCTTGTCAAGGCTTTCTCATGGTAATATATACAATGTCTAATATCTTAGCCACAGAATTATATTTTGTATGTCTCCTTGCAGTTGAAAGTTTTTCTTCAGAATTTCTTTCTTACAGTCTCTGAAAATAGGCTAATTTTTAGGTTGCTGTAGTGCCAGCAAACTACTAACTGCAATAATTGAACTATGATTCTTACTAATGGAAAATGGCTCTAAAATTTAGCATGGGAGTGGGAAGTCAGGAGACAAATGTGCAATAATGCTGATGTTCTCATCCAGAAACAGAGGATTTGAGGTTACCTTCTTCAAAACCTATAAACAAGAGTGATAAGGAAAATAAAGATAGATTTTGGTAATTATTTTCATTTTCACAGAATCTTGAGTTATAATAGACAGTAGCTTTTAACTAGTTTTGTATTTTTTAGATTTTTCATCTTCTGATACCACTATGATTTTTGCATAGATCAAGTGTTGACTCAGATTTGGGCACAACATTTAAAGTTTTGGATGAAAAGTGTACCATTTTTTACAGTTTTGATTTAGGTAGGTGTGAGGTATTCTAAATTCCAGTGATTTCCTGAGGTGCTTGTTTAGGTTTCTGTTTTTTATGGTAGACATTTAAATACTTTTTCCCTTTGCGGGGGAGGCCTTGCACTTGGTATTCAAGTGTTTTACCACTTGAGCTGCTCTGCCAGCCCCAAATACTTTCTAAACCTTTTCTTCTGACCATTATCTCTCTCTGTTTTCTCATATTTATTTAACTTAATTCTAAGACTTTTAACGTAAGCATGTTGGGTTTTGTTAGCTTGCACATTTCACTGAAGAGTGTTATCCTGAAATCATAATACTTGCCCTGTGCTATTCTGGTATTCATTGTAAATATATTTCTAAAATTAGGAATTTCGTGAGGATATGCCATCCATCCTTGCTGATGTATTCTGCATATTAGGTAGGTATTAAGTTTTTATTTCACCTGTAACATGTGCTACTTGATAAAATAACGTTGAATGTTTTTTTCCAAAATAAAGATTTTGCAAATGTGCAATTGTTTCTGGAAATGTAGAAGCAATTTTTTACTTTAGAGAGAATTTAGTATTATAAATCAAATGTCAATGTAATCTCTTTATAAAGTAGCTTTAGAGTAAAATTCAAATTTTTGAGTATTGCATAATATATATTTTTATAGTTTAAGCTAAATTAATTCATTTGGAATAAAAAAACCTATATTCTCTGACATTGTTTTTCTGACTTACTGAGATTTTAGTAATCAAATAATGTCATTCAGTGTAGGTTTCCAATAAATGATGTCAGAATCTTGATAGTTACTTAGGGACTGGTGGAGTGGCTATCAAGTGGTAGAGCACTTGCCTTGCAAGCATGAGGCCTTGAGTTCAAACCCCAGTGCTACTAAGAAAAAGATAGTTACTTTGCTGTTGTACTTTTTAAATCCTTCATTTTAGAAAGAGCAAGAAGAACCAAAGTAATCAAAAGTACTTTTGTTTTGAGGATGAGAAACCAGCTTTGGAAATTGCAATTTACCTGTTTGTTCAGACTAAGTAAGAATTCATGCAACATAAAAAAAATTTCTTTGAGTTTTATTTCTTTACTTTTAGGTATGGATTAACTGATTTTTTTGTATTAGGATATGATACAGGCTCTTATCTAAGGAGGATTGGGCGTCTATTGCTGTTGGGCAGAAAAGGGAGCTAGAAAGCCAGCCAAATTTCTAAGACCTAGAAATCCCAATTTTTTAAAATGTATTTTATTTATTTATTTTTGACAGTACTGGGATTTGAACTCAGGGCCTTGCACTTGCTAGACAGGCACTCCACCACTTGAGCCATACCTGCAGCCCTTAGATACAGATTAAAAGAACCGTGAGCACAGTTTCCCCAACAGTCTTGTGCTTTTTATAACTTTTAATATAATAGAAAACATTGCTAGATCTTATAATTCTCACTTTAAAATAAGACTTAGCCTGTGAACGTTTGTCAAGCTGGAATGAATTATTTTAGGTCATTAATCTTAATTCCTAGAATTAGATAAATTATTTAGAGATTGTATTGAGAATCTAAAGTACGATTTCAACAAATATAAATGCTTATTGTGATCTTTCATGATGTTTTAGATTTCATAATAGTGGTAATGTTGGGAACAGGTCAAAATATTTGTGGATTGTGAGTTTGTGAGTGATAAATTAAAAGAGTAAAGTGTTGGTAAGGTGACCATATGTGCTAGTTTTTGTTTTTAATTCCATGGCATAATGATTAATAGTGTCCTCTTTCACTCTCAACTGTCTGGAGTTGGATGATAAAATACATGTTCATGCATCTATTAGATTCATTTATTTATACCAAACAATATGTCTTTTAAGGTTAATTTCTTTTGATGGTACTGGGTTTGGACTCAAGGCTTTCACACTTGCCAGGCAGGAGCTCTACTGCTTGAGCCACATCTCTAGGCCTTAAGCTTAATTTTTGAAACCAGCAGTAAAGGTTTTGTTGGTTTACAAAGAAATACAGTGAAGCAAGTTTCAATTGAAGAAATTGTACAGTAAATTTGTAAGACTGAAAGACTGATTTTTGGATAAAATTTTGTGAAAGTTGTTGTTCCTTAATAGTTTCAGGAGTGTATTTTATGTCTTTCTTTGAGCAGTCATCAATTTTTAGCCGACTTGTTCTAATAATTTCTTTATTGACTTATTTTGTTAGGGTAGCGTTTACCTTCATAGTTATTTACTCATGAATTATTGCTACAAGTCATTGGTTTTTACTAGTAACATGAATTCATGAAGACTCTGTTTGGTTGCTCTTGGGAAATTTCTTTTAGTCTATCCAGTCCGTGTTTACAAGCAAAATTAGAATGGTGTACTTGGAAAAAAAATTTCCCTCACCTGTCCTCTCACTCATGCACCCCATCCTTGGCAGAAAAAAAATGATTCGAACATGATCCTAGGTCAAGTAGAGGAATAGGAGTTAGAATGTGTACTATTTCTAATAATGATGATAATAATAGTATTAATAATAATGTTGGTGCTATTGTTGGAGCACCGTCCATGATTTAGGCATTGTATTAGGCATTTAATTTTATTTTAATTCTCATAGAAACTTCTGTAATGTAGATGTGCACATTAGGAAAATGAGGTTCAGAAAATGAGGCCATTTTTCATGGCCTTGCAACCAGTAAGGCAGCATTTGAGCCTGGGTCCTTTTGGTTGTAGTGCCCATGATGTTTTTACTACAGCATGTTGTCTTTCTAATAAGTTAAATGTTAAAAGAGGGCTAGTGGAATGGCTCAAGTGGCAGAATACCTGCCTAGTAAGCATGAGGCCCTGAGTTCAAACCCCAGTACCACCAAAAAAGCAAGTTAAAAGAGAAATCTGTGCTACACTTCTTTCCAAGTTAAGATAACTTAAAAGAAAAAGAATTATGTGAGGGCAAGGGAGCATGAGAGTTCTGTTAACTTGGAAGGGAAACCCTGAAGTAACTTGTGATGGGACCTTTGAGCTGGGGTAGGTATTTTAATAGAAATTGGAAAACCTTGAGGGCTTTTCAGTAAAATGATAGGGGAAATTTAATAGTACTTATTAGCACTGATTTAGGGTAAAGGAGTTAGGGATAATAAGTGAACTTATTTGAATGGTGTTATGATTTAGAACAAAGAATAAAGAAAACAGGGAAGTATGTTTGGGATAACAGAGTACTTACATTGATTGTTCAGACAGCACAGCTAAGAAATTTATTGAGATCCTACTAAGCATTTGCTCGCATGGTCAAAAGCCAAGAAAATGGTATCTTAATCAGGTCAGGTAGCTAGGAAGAGAGCTACCAGATTCTCTGATCTTAGGGATCTTGGGGGTGGATCATAGGAATTTTAGGGCCCTGGTGGGTAAGAGGGTATTCGTTAAAAGAATAAGCCCAGTTTAGCTTTAACCCCTGAAGGCCAGTATCTGTAAAGATCTAGGCCAAGGAGGGACCAGAAGACCAGATAATTACACGACAACTGTGGGTTCCTTAAAAGAATTGATGAGATACACGTAGATTAAAAGTCTTAATGAGAAATTGAGATTGTACTACAATTTACATTGCATAAATTGTACTGTAAAATCCCTCCCTGCCACCCTTTTTCAGTTTGGGGCCACTCAGCCACATCACCAGGCCCTCAAATTTCCTTATATATACTTGTACTGACCTTGTGCTTTGCTACAGTGTCTAAATACGGGGGAAATGGCAACTGTCTAAGAAGGAAAAGCAAAGACGGGCCAGAAAACTGTTTGATGATAAATCCCCTTCTCTTTTGATTCTTAGTGTTGACAGTAGAAGTAAACTGAAGCAAAGCTGTAGTAGGACATCTGTTATTGTGGAAGGTCACATTAGAGGCCAATTTTTATTGCTTCACTAAAATTGGTGCCTTTTTATAGCACATTCTAAATTATCAATGAACCTAAAAATAGGTTAATAGTGTATAATCAGTTAAAACAATAATCTTGAAGTCAGTCTTGTGTGTAATCCTGCTAATGTTGTGTGAAATTTTTGATGCTTAGCATTTAGCACTAATTGTTTTATTTATTCCACACTTCAGATCTAAAAATTGCTTGAAAAAAATTTTGAATAATTAACTGAAATTCAAGGAGGTCTCAGTTTTCAGTATTTCAAGAGGAAGAAATAAAAACATTGAATAAGTTTGTATTTAATGCCTAGAATTGTCATTCAAAATAGGATGTTAAACATACTTTTTTTTTGGGGGGGGTGGTGGTATGAGTGAACTCAGGGCCTTGAGCTTGCTAGGCAGGTGATACTGCTTGAGCCTTGGTTCCAGCCCTAAACATAACTTTTAATATTGTCTTTGCATAGAGTTGGTCGCCAGGTAGCTTGACTAAGGTGGTGAAGGTGAGAGGTTTATCTTCATGAGTAATAGCATCTTTAGAATCAGAAGAGAGTTTTTGTTTGTTTTGAGACAGGGTTTTGCTATGTATCCCAGGCTGACCTTGAACTTGTGATCTTCCTGCCTTAGTCTCCCTGAGTTAGAAGAGATAAAGAGATTTTGTTGAGCTGGTAGATTGGCTGAAGCAGTAGAGTGCCTGCCTGGCAATCATGAGGCCCTGAGTTCAACCCCAGTATTGCCCCCCCAAAACAAAACAAAACAAACAAACCCAAAAAAGGAGAGATTTTGTTGTTATCTAGTTCACCTTTGCCACTAAGGAATAAATTTCTTCTTATCATCTGTAACAAGTGGTCATTTAAACTTTGTTAAAATATTTTCTTTTTGAGAACCATATTTTTTGAAGCTTTGTTGCTTCTGGTGCCACAGCATGTAGCTCCTGTGTTATCAGCTTACCATTTTATGGATATGTCATAGGTGAAAGAGTCAGTCTCCAGTATCAGGAGAAATTAAAGTGTTTATATATATGTGAAAGACATCCCATGTTACTACAGTTGAAAAATTTTCCAGATTTAGAATGAGGCATTTAAAATTAGGGTTTTTTTTGTGTGTGTGTGTGTGGGGGGGGACATTTTGGGGGGGGCACTGAGGTTTGAGTTCAGGGACTAGTGCTTGCTAGGCAGGTATTCTACCACTTGAGCCATGCTTCCCAGCTGTAAAATTGGCTAGGTTTTTTTTGTTGTTTAATTTATTCATATGTGCATACACTGGGCCATTTCTCCCCCCTGCCCCCCACCCCCTCCCTCATCCCTAAAGTTAGTGTTAGGGAGTCTAGAAAAATCAATCATTTTATTTCTTGTTCTTCATTTTTGTAGATATTGAGACAAATTGTTTAGAAGAAAAAAGCAAGAGAGACTATTTTACACAATTGGTATTATCCTGTTTGGTAAGTTTTAAAACATACCTTTCCTTTTCTAAATTTTTCATTGAACAGTTGTAATCACAGTTAATCATGTTAATGGAGGATGATATTAACCTTCATTTGACTTCATTATAAGGTGAGATTTGGGTTTTGAAATGGAATATTTTGTGAAATTAGACTTGGTGTTGCTGTGAAATAAACATACTATCAAATTACTTAAACTATACATATAAATCCTTCACTGGTATTCCTGACCTTGTAAGTTCCTAATAAAGAAAAAGGTTTTGGAAACAGTGCCTTCTGGAAGAAAAGAAAAAGGTATGCTTCTCTGAAGTAAGTAGAAGTGACTTAAACTGAAAAATTTTATTAAACTTTATTAAAAATGGAGTTATTTTAAAAATGATAAAATTCTACAAGTTGTCATAATCATTGCCTAGTGACAATTTTATGTTTATAAATTTAGAACCAAGGAGAAATACCACTACTGAGACCTGGAAGAATGTCCTTGTCTTTATTTTATTTATTTACTTTTTAATTTTGTCCCTGTCTTTAGTTTGACTTATTCTAGAAATTATACAATATTGAAGGGCTATATTTTGTGAAAATTCAGTTAACACATATTTACTTTAATGAGAATTTCATCTGTAGTTTGTTTATTGGCTGTGTATACCATGCATATAATTCAAATGAGTTTTTGAAAGCTCTATATTATATATTTCGGTATTTAGAGTCATCATTTTTGTTAAATTGAAGTTTAAGCCTTTCTAAATTATAAACTGTATGTGCACAAGAAGTGTGTGATGTGATTTTTGTATTGTTTGCGAAAATTGTTTTTAGTATACTTAAGATTGTGGATGAGTATCGGAATGCTAAACAGTAAATGGCCTTTAATATTTTTAATACAGTATTTAGTTTCAGACACAGTTCTGAAGGAACGTCTGGATCCAGAAACATTGGAATCATTAGGGCTTATCAAACAATCACAGCAGTTCAATCAAAAGTCAGTTAAAATCAAGACAAAACTCTTGTAAGTACATGTATCTTATGTTGCAGATCAAGTAACTGAATGTTTATTATTTTGAATACTAGCAGTTTCTAAAACACTTTGAAGATTATTTTTTGATTCCGGTTCGTATGGGTCTTGTTTTTTGCCTTCTAAAAGTAGCCTAAGATTATTGAGTCAACAGTGAGCTTTTACCTCTGTGAAACCACCGTTAATTTTGTCCACATTTGAATCTAAAATAATATTCAGTGCTTTTATTAGCAATAAAATAATTTGCAACTATGATTACACTCAGTATATATTCATAATTAATGATGAAAGTTGTGACCTGTCATTATTCCTTGGAATTTCCTCCCGTTATTTGTTTTCACCCGTGTATTACTCTTGTTTGCTATACTAAAAGATACAAAAAGAGGTAAACTTCTAATAGCCATTCTTATGATCATTTTAAGTTAGAGGTATTCAGGGAGAAAAATACACTACTCTGTGTAAGTTTGTTAGTTGAAATTAATTTAATCCCCTTAATGATATTTATTTTATTTCAGTTATAAACAGCAAAAATTCAATTTGCTAAGAGAAGAAAATGAAGGGTATGCCAAGCTGATTGCTGAATTGGGGCAAGATTTATCTGGAAATATTACTAGTGATTTAATCTTAGAAAATATCAAGTCTCTAATAGGTAAGACATTCATATATCTACAAAATATGTGTTAACATACTAAGCTTTTTTTACACTGTTGGAGAACATCCATAAAGAGAAAATGAATATATTGCGCATAAGTATTTTTCAATTAAGAAATAAGAGTACTTTTAGTGTTTTATCAGTAGTGGTAAAATTAACACAATACTTACAAAAAATGTTTTTGTCACTGTTAACCTGTGTATTTATATTAGTTCCCATTCTCTCTAATATTTCCATCTTTAATTATTAAATGTTTCTCAATCATTTTATAGAGGGCAGAAAATAAACAAATGAGAAGACTAATAAATATTCAATGAATTCTTGAAATATGGTGATGTATATAGTTCTTTTGAACTTGATTTAAAAATATCTTTAAGAGGGACTTTGATACACATTTTATGTTTACAACTGGATTTTTCCAAGAGTAGAAAGCAATTCTGGTATTGTTGTGCTATCATAGGAAAGATTTTTTAATACAGTGGTATCTTAAATTTTGAGACCTGTAAGAGAAATTTTATTTCCTGCTTTATTGGTTACATCTTTGGAGTTACTTATGCTTAGCTTCTTGGTTCTTTCTCTTTGTCTTTGGAATATATATATATATATATATTATATATATATATATATGACTAAGAAAGAGCAGGTGGCCTAATCTTACCCCCTTCTGTCAATGCTCTGCATTGACACCCAGAGAAAACTAAAATGTTACAATCTTTCTCATTTTTTGGTTTGGCTTTTGCTGACCACAAGTATAGACTAAGGTAAGCTAACTTTTAATTTACATTTACCCTTTTCTTTGAAATAAGTCTAATTTTGGCAGCTGATCTTTCTTTGCCATGTCCGTTCTATGTTGATTTAACATTCAGATGAGTGAGCCTCTAGGACTGCTGTACTCTTGCTTACCTCTGTGGCAGTGACCCATTTTTAAAAATCTTCCTGTTGGGGAGTTTCTTTCTACTAATTCCAGGAAGGCTCTACGTTTTCCTGGTGTTTTTTTTTTTTTGTTTTTTTTTAAGTGTAGCTTGAGAAATTTGTCAGAACTGCTTTGCTATAGTTTTGTCTTTCCATGTGCCCTGTCAAGTACTTACTTAAGATAGTATTCCCCGCATAAAAATCTTGTGGTATGTAAGGTCCTCAGTCATTTGCTTTTACTTTATCTTTGTTTATGTTTATGTAGTTTTTTTCTTTTTTTGTTCTTTTAATTTATATTTTTTTATTCCTTTGTTATTTTGGGAATATTTCTAAGAAGTATTTTTCTTGAAAGTATACCACATTGTATTGCACAAGTCTCTTTAATTTTTTTTTTTTGTGGGACCTGGGTTTGAACTCAGGACTTTTGCTTGCTAAGCAAGTGCTTTACTGCTTGAGCTGCACCTCCAGTCCATTTTGCTTTTTTTTTTTTTGCGGTACCAGGATTTGAACTCAGGGCCTATACTTTGAGACACTGTACCAGCTCCTCCTTTTTTGTGATGGGTGTTTTCGAGATAGGGTCTTGCCAACTATTTGTGTAGGCTGGCTTCGAACAGTAGTCCTCCTGATCTCTGCCTCCTGAGTAGCTAGGATTGCAGGTATGGGCCACCAGTGCCTGACTTTTGACTATATTATTTGAGAGAATTTAGTATTTTAATTATCTTTGGATCAATTTGAATATAAGGTCCAATGCTCCCAAAATACATATCTTTGGATCAATTTGAATATAAGGTCCAATGCTCCCAGATACATCTGGCCATTGTGTCACCTTTTTCCTGTCCCTTTGAAACGGAGACAATTGGCTGCCTACTTCACATAAATTTTTTCTTTATTGAAGTTTCTTCGTTATATTTGTTAGAAATATGTTTTTAGCCCCTACTATGAAAATGAAGCAGTTGGTGCTTTCAAGCACAGTATTTTTAAGCAATCATGCCTTTGTTAGGTGCATGTTTCCACATCTTGATCCATTGATTCTTGCCTTGATATGTGCAGGTCCCCCCCCCCCCCAAAAAAATACTATTTCTCAGGAATAGTGTAGCGTAAAAAGAGGAATAGTATAGCATAGATTTTTATTAACCTATTTCTCTTCCTTCTCCCCTTCCCTCCCTTCCTCCCTTCTTTCTCCTTCCTTATTTTTGTGGTGCTTTGACCCAAGGCCTTGTAGATGCTAATTAAGCACTCTACCCTAGAGCTACATCCTCAACCCTATGTTTAACCTGTTTCTAAAGGAATTCTTTGTAGATGCCAAATGGATTCTTTTTGTTAAAAAACAGGTCGATTCTGTCAGGAATATGATTATTGAGTGCCTAATTGTGTTTTCATGTTTGAAATCTATAGGCTGGACATATGTCTCAGCAGTATTTGTAGTATTACCATAGTCTTTTATTTTCCTCTTACAAATTTCAGTTTGGCCTTATTGCTACAACAGCAGTTGTCAGTTTTATCATATTTTTTTGCCTCTATTTGCAATCACTATAATATACTGACCATCTGATCATCCCTGGGTAAACTCCAGTTATTTTTCTGTGCATTTCTTCAAAAGATCATTATCTAAAAGGTGTGAACTGTCCTTAAGGATAGAGGAGGAGGAGGCATTTTATTAATCTCTGCATCACAAGCATCTGGCACATACCTGATACTATGTAGTATATATTTAAATGTAGGAATGAAGATTTTCGTGCTATGGGTCTGTTAATTATTTTTCCACTTGTCTCCTTCCAGTATGTTTCTCTGTTCATCCAAAGGCATAAAAGGTATTATTTGTGTGTATGTATTAATATAACAGCTGGTAGAGGTAGGGAGGTAGGCTTATGATCATCTCTCAAGATCACATGTCTGTTGATGCTTTGGGTGGACAAAAGCCTTTCTAAGATAGCGGACACAAGCGTGCCTATGTTCTACTACAGCTGCCATTAGAAGTTTTTTTTTTTAGGTACTCAAGCTTTCTGACTGTAACTAGAGTCTCACTGTGTATGAAATAGCTTAACCATTACTCTAAAATCAGTGTTTACTTGCATTTAGGGGTTTTAAAAAAAAGTTTCTAAGCTTTGCTGTTTGGCTACTTAGTTTCTGTGTTATAGATGGAATTGATTGAAGTAATTTATGGCATCTGAGATACTTAGTAGTAGAAAACTGAATAAGCCTGCTTTTCTTTTGTGAAAGATACAAAGGTTGATATCTGTTATAAATAAAAGGCATATCTCTTCATCCACATTACTGCCTTAAATTGAACCTAGAAGGAAATTACAGATTACTGGTAGAATTGCCTTGATTAAGAATGCTGTTAAGCATGTCAGTGACTCACATTTCAGCATATTGAAAACGTGAGTACCAAAGTAATGTGAAATACTTAAAAGATTTCTATCTAACCTGTTGCTTTTCCAGTCCTTAATATTTGTATATGTAGTGTAATTGGTAATTAATTATAAACTAGCCAGATTTTCAAAATTATGTACAGTGTGTCTTTTGTCCTCTGTGATAATGTTGTTCATTTTTACTTGGTGTTTTATTTTTATATTAAATGTAGAAGTTATAAGACTGGAAAAATTTTCTGGATCTTTTGTAATCTATTATTGTCAGTGTTAACAACATTGTGATTATATATTTCAGCTTTATTGAGGCATAATTTATGTATTCTAAGCTGCATACACATGCACACACATGCACACACATGCACCTGTGCAAACATCCTCACAAACAAGATCATGCATGTTCTCATCAATCCCCTTCAAAATTTTTCTTTCCCTTTGCATTATTCCTCCTCACTCCCCGTTTCCTTCTCCCCAGGCCACCACTGATCTGCTTTCTTTCACTATAGATTAGTTTGCTTTTTCTGTGATTCTTCTGTAAATGTAATCACATGGTATTGACTCTTTACTTGGCTTATTTCAGTTAGCATTATTATTTTATTTTAATTAGTTTGTGATTCTTCCATGTTGTTGCCTTTGTCAGCAGTTCTTTTTATTGCTGAACGTTATTCCACTGCATTGCTATACTTACACTATACTACAGTTTATCTATTTATGTAGTTCCTATTACAAAAAAAGCCTCTGTGAACATTTGTGTACAAGTCTTTTGCATTAACAGATATTTATTTATTTATATATTCACTCACTGATTTATTTATCTTGGGTCAATACCTAGGAATGGATGGCTGCATCTTATAGTAGTTGCAAATTTAACTTTTAAAGAAATTTACAGTTTACCAGGTAGTTGTACCATTTTACGTTTCCACTAGTAGCATTTAAGGATTCCAGTTGCTGTTTTGGAGTCATTTTTATGTTTGTAGGTACAGCAGGAGGCAAAATATTTTGAAGTTGTTTTTCCCCAGAACTTTAGGAAAATACCTTTTTTGGAGAATTTATGAAAATTTGGAGCTCATTTTGGTAAGATGATCACTGATTTTGTTCTTTTCATTAGTATGAAATGGAAGAAAATGTATTACTAAATTGGGGTCACATAAAAAGAGGGAAAATACTTGTATTTGGAGTACTTGGTTTTTTAAGTGATTGCTATGATACTAAGAATGAGATAGTTTTTTGACATTTAATGTAAATAAGTGGGAAGTTAATAGAAGTAACTCTGAAGATCTCTTACAGAAGAGTTAGGATAGGTATAGGTTACCAGGTTATGAATTTTTTATGAGAAAAATCCCCTAAGCCAAACATAAGGTACAAATATTTAGGCTTCATATGTCCTTAAGTTGAACACAGTTGTTCTTTATTCTCTAGTATTAGAAGTCATTGTTTATTTGCTGTCAGTGAAGTGGTTAGCTTGCATTTAGGGATCAGGTCTAGTGAAAAATATATAATTTAAAGTACTAGCCAGGTGCCGGTGGCTCATACCTGTAATCCTAGCTATTTAGGGAGGCAGAGATCTGGAGGATTGCTGTTTGAAACCAGCCCTGGGCAAATAGTTTGCGAGACCCTATCTTGAAAACACCCATCACAAAAAAGGGCTGGTGGAGTGGCTCAAGTGGTAGATTTACCTGCCTAACAAGCATCAAGCCCTGAGTTTAAACCCCAGTGTTGCCAAAAAATAAAAAACAAAATAAATAAAATATTAGCATCCTATTCAGAAGTTTTATGCGAGGAACTGACATATGTCATTTGGGAACTGACATAAACTTGAAGGAATAGCAGATTGTTATCTCATGTTCACTCTGGGTCATAAGAATATGTTTTATTGAGAGGAATAGTGTGTAGAATTGCCTCTATCATTTAAATTATTTGTCTCTATCCTTTTTTAAAATTCTGTGCAAAATAGTTGAGTTCCGATAACTGAAATGTACATAAGAGCTTACTGCACTATAGTATCATCATGGTAATAGCTGAATCCAAATGCATGTAGAGTTAATAATGTATTAAGAGTAGGGTGACCTAGTAGGAATGTTTACCACATCCGGCCAAATTGGCCCTTTTTAGTTCATCCTAGGAGATTAGCATGGATAACTGACCATGAACACTTAGTGTTTCTTTCTCTTCCTTTTCCTGTTTTACCTAGGTTTTTTTTTTTTTCTTCCTTCTCTGCTATGTCATCTATGCGCTTTTGTCATACTCCCAGCTCCCTTGATACTCTCTGATATCTTTAATATTATTATTTTACCACTTTTCCCTTTATAATGCTACCCAAAAGTATAAATGTAAATTAGTGGTATAATTGTGTTCTGTAGCTCTGTTGTATATGTAAGATAAAAGTGATCCTAAAAATGATAGTTCAATTTCTTGAACCTAAACTTTTGTTTATTTGCAGTCCAAATACTTTTGCTTAAAACGTTTTTAAAAAGCCTTTTGGTTGCCTAAAATGTAAAATTTATTGCTTGATTTTTGTATTTTGCTAAGAATTAACAATTTTGATCTCTTCTATTCGTCTGAGAAGTAAAGAATTGATGAGACAGTGTAGCATAGAATATTTACTTGACTGGTGTCACAGGTTCTGGACTTTAGCTTCAGGCCTGTCATTAACCCAGTTTCTGATCTTGGGCAAGTCACAGTTTCATCTGTAAAATGTGTAGGTGTTTTTGTAAATTATCTTGACAATTATGAAAATTTTCCTTTGAAAAGAGGAATTAAAACTTTTAAAAGAAATTATTTTTAAAAACATTTGTATCAGGCTATGTAAGTTGTCCCTTATAGTTTATTTACTATAAATGATACATAATCACTTTTGAACTTGTGTATATCTCATCTGTTACAGGATGCTTTAATCTGGATCCCAATAGAGTATTGGATGTCATTTTAGAAGTGTTTGAATGCAGGCCAGAACACGATGACTTCTTTATATCTTTATTAGAATCTTACATGAGTATGTGTGAACCGCAAACACTGTGTCATATTCTTGGGTTCAAATTCAAATTTTACCAGGTAAAAGTATATCTCTATATATGTATATCATAATTCCATGTGTGCAATTTAATTTGAGTTTTATTTATAAATGATTGGTTTCAGTTCATTCTAGCAGAGGATAATAGATAAATAGAGAGCTAGCAATGTGTTGTGATAAGTACTATACTAGTAGTGTTAATAATGTAATGTGAAAGCCTAGAGGAAAGCAAAATTAAGTTTTGTCTCAGGAGAGATGGGGTCAGGGAAGACTTTATAAATGTAACCCTTTTTTTTTAAAAAAAACAAAACAAAACAAAACAACAAAAGAAAACCTGTATATCAAAGGTTGAATAAGAGTTTGTTGAATTTTATGTGCAGGACTAACAATCAGTGTGAGAGTAAAAAATGTGTTGGTGTGGATATACATAATTGATTGGAAGAATGGTCCGTAGTCTAGTGGGACTGGGTTTTAAAATGGGAAAAGAAAGGGCAGAGAATAACTTTGGAAAGGTAGGAGCTCTTTGTCATAGGCCTGTGAATACTTTGTCAAGAGTGAGGATTTTATTGCATAGGCAGTGGCTATTGGAATTCTTAATGGATGTGAATAAATACTTGAATCATATTTTGCATCATTTTCCACTAAACTCAAAACTTTCAAGCTAATCCATGCTTCTAATTATTTCTCTTTCAATCCATCTTTCATGTTATTGCTGCAGTTACTGTGTAAAAGAGATTTAACTAAAGTCAAGTATGCCAAAATCTTTTCTTGTAGGGTAAAAATCGAACTTCTGCAAGTGGCAGAAAAAGTCCTTCACTGTTCTTTTTTCCCCCGTCCTATGTATAGTTATTTTTTTCTTAAATCTATTCTAGTCATATCAAATGACTAGTCATTTCCTGAACTTAAGTATTGATTGTTACGAATCTTTGTTAACACAGTTCCTTATAACTAGAAAACTAGTATTACCCAATTCTCTCACTCCTCTTTTCTTTCCCTTCTCCCCCTCCCTTTCTTTCTTTTGTGGTATTGAGGTGTGAACTCTCATGTGCCTTACTACTTGAGTCACAAGCCCAGTCTGTTTCACTTTTTCAGGTTATTTTTCATGTAGATTCTTGCATTTTGTCCTAGGGCTGCCCTTGGACTGTGATCCTCCTACATGTGGCTTCCCATGTAGCTGAGAAGACAGGTGCACACTTTTAAGTCCAGTTTATTTGTTGAAATGAAATCTTGCTAACTTTTTGCCTGGGCTAGCCTCCAACAGTGATCTTCTTGATTTCTGCCTCCTGAGTAGCTGGGATTACAGGAATGGACCACTGTGCTTAGCTAGTGCCCTCTTTATTTAAGATCAAGTGTGACTTGCTCTGTAATATCTTAGCTGACACCTCACTTGCAGAATTAGTTACCTAATCTAGAATTCCATAAAATTTGACACTTTTTTTAAACACTTGGCCAGGTTGTATAAAATAAGCCATGGCCAACTTTTTTTGCTAGATTGTGAGCCAAATAGAGCAGATTCTTTATTTTACTAATTTTTGTGGATTGGTTTACTGATTAGCATATAGTAAGTGTTTTATGTTTTAGAAAGATAGTTATTTCTTAATAACATGGGAGTTTCACTGTAATAAGACCTCTATTGTCCTTTTGGTATAGCTTTGCTAATTTGTCTCCCTTGCCTGGGATAATCAGCTAGCCAAGATATACTCATTCATTGAATGTTTATGATATTCTGTCACTTTGCTAGGCACTGACGTTATTCTAGAGAATGGGAGTGTTTATATCTCTACTCTTGGTGAGTTCAGGATAAGAGGCTTTCTTTTTGGATTCTCAAGTGATATAGCACCTACTGCCTCTGCTTATGTTTTATTTTTGCATTCTTGGAATGTTCCAGAAGATAAGAGAAAGGAGATCAGAGTGTATAGATATTGAGCCCAAACAGAACACAGTGCAGGGGTTTGGGGCAAGAGTACTGTGTCGTTACTAAAAAATTAAGCCATGGCAGCTGTTTCTTTTCCTACAAGCAGCCTGCAAGTCAACTCTTAATATAGGGAAGCAGAGATTCAAGTGTTCCACCAGATTTTTTTTGTTTGGTACTTGAGTTTGAACTAAGGTCCTTGTGCTTGCCAGGCAGGCACTCTACCACTTGAGCCTGATTCTAGTCTTTTTTATTAACTTTCTTTTTGATGGTACTGGGTTTGAACTTAGGGCCTTGTACTTGGCAGGCTGGTGCTCTGCCACTTGAGCCACACCTCCAACTTCCATTGTATTTTAAGAGGCATCATGATTGCTTGGAGTTTGAGAACATGAAGCCAACTGCTAAAGTCAAATGGTAGTCAAAATTTAACTTGCTACATGATTATTTGCAAAATAAGTTAACGGTGTTAGAGACTGTTTATTTCAGACCATATCATAGTGAATTATGACCTGTGTGAATTCAGGTTAGTTGAGTGCTATTTTTAGAATTAAAAATCTTTTTATGTGAAAATATTCTTCATAATGTAACTTCTTTTTTTAGCTGAATTGATGTATGGGGGGGTGTTTAGCAATATTTGAGTAATCCTTTTTTTGTAGATAACGGACATTTTCTTGTCAAAAATACTTGATTTATGGCTGAGTGTGGTGGTGAGTGTCTGTAATCTCAGCAATATGGGAAGCATAGGTAGGAGGAATGAGGTTTGAGGCCGGCTCTGGGCAACAGTGTTAGACGCTATCTAAAACATAAAGCAAAAAAAAAAAAAAAGGTCTGGGGCATGGTACAGGTGGTAGAGTGCTTGAGATCAAACACCAAAAAAGAAAAACAAAACAAAACCAAACAAAAAACCCAATCTTGATTTAGAAATAACCTGCCTTTGGGAGAATTAACTCTTATTTTGCTGTGTGACAATATTTCCTTCTTTCTCTTGCCAGATACAGTTGTTTTGAGAATCTGTGGTCTTAGGATTTCTAAGAGTAGGGGAATAATTTTCAGAGATTTTAGGTAATTTGTGACCTTGGAGGGAAAGTACGGAAAGATAGGATAATCATGAACTATATAGGGGATGTAACCTTGGGTGTAGGTTCCCAGGCATGTATGTATCTCTTGCTTAATTCCACCCCCCCTTCTCATCAGTACTTGAAAATGTTTACTTACTTTTCCCCTAACTCGCATTTTCATCAATTGGGAATTGTTTGGATTAATGACTGCTTCTTTTCTTTTTTTCTCACTTAATGGTAGCACTTTTAGGCAGAGCTAATTATTCTAAGTTGTTGACAAGAGTGATTTTTGTTCTAATGTTACTTTTGTGATCAGCTATACTGAATGTTTTGATTTGAAGGGTGATGGGGAACGTAAGCAGTTTTAAAGCACATGACCATTTTGAGATTGCTCCAATCTCAAAGTGGAGTTTAGGGATAGCATGAGGGCATCATGAGGTACAGCGGATAGAGGAGGAAGGGAAAGTAATAGAAAGTTTGAGGCTACCAAAGGCTAAAGTCGGCTGGCATTGTCTTGCCATGAGTAAGAGGGATGAGATGATAATTCTTACTTATGTCATAGGCCCTTGATTTCTGGATTCAAAACACAATTATAGCAGTAATTGTGTATAGTGGTAAGATCCTATTATATACACCCCAAGTTCATTTATTTAAGAAATATTGATTGAGCACCTTTTTATTCTAGGTGCTGGGGCTATACCTGTAAACAGAAATCCTTGCCTTCTTGATGCTTACATTCTAAATAAATTATATATTGCATTACAAACTGGTAAAATGATGGGAAAAATACAGAGCAAGATAAGGGAAGTTCAGGAGTGCTGACATTGTAGGTCTCAGTTTTAAATAGAATAATCAGAGTAGACATCATTTGAAAGGTAAGATTTAAGTAGAGATATGAAGGATGTGAGGATGTAAATTGCAGCTATCTCCTGAAGAGTTTCTAGGTAAAAGAAACCATCAATACAATGCTCCTAAAATGTGAGTATGCCCAAGAGTGGTATGGAGTCCAGTACGGCTAGATCAGAGCGATTGAGTCAGATGACAGGAGATGAGCTCAGAGATGAGCAGGGCTAGATCACATAGATGTCTTTAACTTTGATGTTGTGTAAAGCTCTCCATTGGGAGAATTTTAAGTAGGGAATGATGCAATCTTAGTTTTTTCATTTTGTTTCTCGTTTACTTTTTCATTTTATCATGAACATTTTCAAGCAAAAAGAATGATATAGTTTGTTCATAACCCTATCACCTAGAATTAAGTTTATTAATACATTACCATGCTTCTTAAAATATTAATTTATATTACATATGTCATGAAAGTTTCCTCCTAAATATTGAAGCTTGTATTCTTTAAGAACTTTTTTCTATATAACTGGTGCCAATTTCATACCAAACTATGTTACTATTGCATAATAAAGTCAGACCATATTCAGATTTCCCAAATTGTCCCCAAAATGGGTTTTACAACTACCTTGTTCGAGTGATCTCAGAACCACACATGGCATTTGATTGTCAAGTTGTTTTAGTCTCTTAATTTAGAACAGTCTCCTACCTGTTAATGGCATTAAATTGTTGATGAGACCATTCCCTAGAAGAATCCATCTTTTGGGGATTTACCTAATTACTTTTTCATAGTTAGTTTAATTAGTTCTTTGTCCCTGTATTTCTTATATACTTGGAATCAGGTCTAAAGGCTTGGTTATATTCACATAGAAGATTTAATGGCAAAAATGCTTTATAGATTATGATATATGTTTTATATTGTATAACATCTAATCTAATGCTTGTCTTTAAATGGTTCAGTAAGTTGGTGACACTCTGATTATAATGCCCCTTCTCCATAAATAGCAAGTTATTTGTAGGTTGATATTTTGATACTATGTGAATATCCATTTCCTCATTAACCTTACATTAAATAATTTAGAATCTTGAATAATCCTTGCTTGAGCCATTTCTTTCCTTAAGGGTTCTAAATTGTAGATTTACCAATTTTATCATGTTCTTGACATTTATTAGCCATCTTTCTTCAACAAAGAATTGTCCCTTATCAACTGAGGCTGCTTGGTTTCCTTGA